ATTTAGATTCCCAGCTTACTCATTTGTCACCCCAGCCACTGCAAGAGCGCAGGGTGATGTACCATTGTAAGACAATCCATGAAGAAATTTGGGAATGAGGTACTAAGTGACGTCCCCGGTGTCGCTCGGCTTTTGTTCAAGGGTGCGCCTCTAACCCTTGCACAACCATGTGCGACCTGCAGGGCAACAGGGTAGAACTGCTGATAGCCGGTGACCGTCAGAATGATTCGGATGGCTCAGCGCCACCCCAGGATCCCATGTCTGTGAGGTGTGATGGTCGGTGCTATTCCTCAGAGTTTGTCCTAATCGTAAGAGTAGGTAAGTAACAATGCTTTTGCGATGATCGAAGCTACATTTGTTCCACGGTAGTTTGCTCAGTTGTGGCGTGATCCCCTCCTGAAGATCGGGACGGTCAACGCTTTTTTCCCTAGGATTAAGCGATAATCTCTTCCGACCAAATGCTGCGTAGTAAACTAGTAATAGGACTGATGAGAGACACACTCCAGTTTAAAAATGATGGGAGAGAAGCCCATCAGATTCCACTACCTTCCCTTTCATAACTGATTGAATTCGGCTTCGTACTCCTAGTACTGATTCAGGATTACGTGTTACCGCCCAGGGAGTCTCCACTGCAATCGCCCGAGTAATCGCATTAACACAAGGTCACTAAAATACTATACACAGAGAGCAAGTCGTTGATTTTTTGTAATTTTATTTTCACACACGTCTGAATCCAGGCTGCCAAACAAATCATGGTACAATAATCTTTATGAAAAAAAGGAAAACGTTCCATGATCTGTATGTGGGCTGAATACTGCCAGGTTCTCCAGACCAAGGGGGGTGAATTTTCTTGAGGAATCCACAACCGGAGCCTTTGGCTAACCAAAGCCTGACCCGCAAGGCAGCGGGGCGGTGTGTGAAAACCGCAAACCCATTGGGAGCCGGTGTCTAATTCATCGGATCATACGCCCTTTGGACGGGGTCAAACGTCCAAGGTGCCCAATACACCTCCATGCCCAATGAAGCCGGTGACCACTGCCACAACCAAGAAGTTGTATGTGTGGTTCGTACTCCTCATGGTTGGTTTCGAATCACGCTTTTGGCCAACTCCCCTAGGTAAACTACCAGTGGTCCACCATTCCGGTTCTTCATTGTAGATATTCCGTATACTTGGATCATAAACAGTTTCGCTGCCTGTTATGTGGCAACCTTCAGAGATGGGTATCAGGTGAAGTAGTGGAAGACTACTCCCTGATACAGAGGCTAATTCCGTTTCACTAGCCATTTCGGACGACCAGTTTTCGCGGTCTTCCTAATGCATAAGCAGAAATGATGAACAGACACTTGCTGATGTTGCTTCCCTTCCGAACATTAAGTGAACCCTGGAGTCTCATTGCACACATAGGTCTGCTGACGGGTATCACTGAAGTCTAAGTTTTACCCTTTAGCACAGTTTTCACTCCACAATGACCCAGTAATTGGGCTTTATCGTCGCGTGATGTGCGAAGCAAACACCTCGCGGATAGATCCGACGCACCCAGATGGCTTATACTACTAGAACCCTGAATTCTGGTCCCCGATACGCAGTAGACATCAATTTCCAAAGGGTTTATTGTAAGAGTCAGACAAGCCCGTGAAATTACCCGCACCAAAGCCCTCACGTTGAAGGCCCCCGAGGTTGACGAAGCTTCATGATCTGCAACTTATTTGGAGGTAAACTACTTGCAGTGCTATTTGGCAACAAGCTTTGGTATGAAATAATAACACGAGATCCATGGATGGAACGGATCTCACTAAAAAACTTGGGCGTCGTGCTCATGATTATTGAGGAAATTAGCTTGTCTTAGCCATGACGAATGAAAACCAAAAAACATAGGCGTTGGTATGGAATGTCACTAGTCGGAAGGAGGAAAGGGAGGGTTGTGCATAGAAGACAAATGATTAATTCAAGGGTGGGTTTCCTTTTATTACACACACTTGTATGATGGACAGCAGACGGGGCGGACGCCATATTCATGAAGACCTGCTGTCCAGTGATAGAAACCGGTAACCTAAGCCTCGCGACCTAGTGTGGAGAACCAAGTAGTGTAGTAACACTATTTTCCCTTTCCAACGTCATTCCTCCGATGCATGTGAAGACCCTATTTTGTTTTACTGTCCTCGGGTTCGAGAATTGGTATGACCTCGATCTCGACACAATTTCCGGTGAGTTGTATCGTGCGCTTGGTTCTCTGTACACTTTCCGCTGCAGGTCACATTATACGACATACGCTCTTACCCGACTTCCTTCTCAATTCACGCTTGCTCTGGGAATCGTTCGATAAGCCGATCGATAAGTTCGATTGATTGGATTCGTAGACGCGTGTCGACTTCAGCCCTACTTAGTGTGCTAAACGACCACCAAAGTTGGGTGGCTGCGGAGGGGGCTCGAACATCGGACCATAGGGTCCGAAGCACGTCGGTGACTGCATCACTACTACCCTAAGCAATCGTCACTTCGTTCCACTCAATGAAATCGGCAGCGCGGTCCTGATTATCTTTTACCACGACCGATTCAGTATGGATTTCAATGTAGTTTGTGTTCATTGGAGCTTGATGGGTTTTCAACCACTAACCATGATAACGATTAGGGTTCTCAACAAAAGCCTTTAGTTCTGGCAAGAACCTGAACTCAGGGTAGCGGGTAAAGCAGATTGGAGGCCGATCTGCTTGGGTCATTTATTCCTCATTCTTTTTCAACTGTCTGAGATTCCAACTCCAGTCAACCCCCAATCTGGAGGAACGATAAACGTGAATTTGTTTGACCTATATTGTTTGATCCTCCAATCATGATTACATCTTCGGTTGAAAAATATCCATCTTGTGTAACTCGTTGGGCCACAGAGGCAAACAAGTCATGACAACAGGTTAAGGTGTAGTCGCATCGTGATGGTTCATCACATTGTAAGTTTCACGACAGCTGTGACCCACCAGAATTGTGTGAGTATAAGAGGATAAGATTTAGACTGTTAATATGCACATCACAACCAAGGTGAATACGACGCTAAGCTGTCCTTAGATAAGGATAACAGTGGTAAGTTCCGGATCGTGGTTTTCGGAGCACGTTCGTGTAAATACCGTACATAGTGAATAATTGATCAAAAATAAGCTTCTACAGTCGAAAGTTTGACAACCTCAGCCCAAAGGTGTGTAAGGGTCAATAATCCAAAGTCGGCTAAAACACGTGACGTTCTGTATGGGGCTAAGGTAGTGAAACTACAAGGAATCACAATACCGATTGTAGTTCCTCTCTAGAACACGATTTAAAGTTTGGCGTTCTCTCTTGATTCTCGAAAAGCCTTGTGATAAAAAAACCTGAGCCTTGGCGATATAACGTGACTTCGACTTCGAGCATTTTTCTGTCACTTGATGAATCACTAATCGCGTACTGCAATGGTCTTGGATGATTTTTCACTAGGATCCCAATGACCGCATTTCAGTGAGGGCTTTCGAACAAAATTAAATTGCATCATTGTAAATAAAACAAAAATTGGATAAACCTCACATAGAACCGGAGCAAAGAGATAGACTTCAAGGAATATTAGCGCAGAAAAGTAGTAGACAAAAATAAATCAAAATCTCTAGTCGATGCTTCAGCGAAATAAAATTCTGACTAAAAGTGTAGTTCTTACAGGGTCTCGTCAGCTCGGTAATGGATGACCGCACGCTTTGAACCCATGGCTTCGTCACCCAGTGCATGGAACTCGAAAAATCGTTCAAAAACGGCCGCGAAACAGTTTCGTTTAAGCAGAGCGATTTGTCGTGCAAGTGCAGCATGGTCATTCGGAAGAGATTCCAAATCATAAAGTAATGATACACTAGCGCCGTTTTCCGGTTTCTCACATAGATGATCGCCATATTCACGTCGAAGAAGCTATCAAATGGTGTATTGTTTAAGTTATCCAAAGGCAGCAACTTACCTCATCTGCTCCGTACTCCTGTAGTTCCCGATAAAAATTTAATGAAATGCTGATTAGAATTTTCGATTTATCATTGTGAACGGTATGGAGGCGATAAAGTACTCCATCAAAATCAGCCAAGACATAATCAAATTTTTCCAATTTCAAACTATTTCAGTGGTAATTCGGTTCGAAAAGATCTCATACCCCTGCTTGGCGCCCTCGAATTTCAACAAAAGCAATTCTTCCACGCCGCGATTATGAATTTCCAAAAATATCATTCCAAAGGTTGATACTCAATGCATCGTTTGAAATGAATGAGACGGATAGATGCTGTAAGGCACCAAGAATTACCGGTAAAATCAAGAGAATATAAATTCCACCAGTGAACAATGACTGTACATTGAAAAGTTAGGTTCGTATGTGTTATGCGCTCGAGTTGCTTGCTGTTTACAACAATCTTGCTTTCCTCTATCGTATAGGTTGGGAAGCTTGATAATCAGGCGTGCATGTTAGCACTTAAAATGCAAAAGAATGCTTAGGAATGGTGCCAATCACGGCCGATTTTTATTTTTATTCATGGTCACGCGTCTGAGTTCAGACTGTGCAAACAGATCAAGGTACAATAATATTTATAAAAAGCAAAATGGTCCATGATTTGATCGAAGGCGCGATGTTGACTGGTTGTCCAAGCCAAAGCATGTAAATTTTTCTAGGGAGTTATCAACGGGAGCCTTCGGATAACGAATGCCTGATCCGCAAGGCAGCGGGTGGTGTGTGTAAACCGCAATCCATTGGGGGCCGATGTCTAGTTCATCGGTTCACACACCCTTTGTACGGGGTCAAACGTCCAATAGAGCCGGTTATAGCTCCGGATTTTGGTTTTTCGTCCTCATTGTGGTGGGAAAACACCCGCCACAAGAAGGTAATGAATAGAGCTTTCTCTGCAGAAGCTATTTGAGATGTTTAGTCGTATGGAGCATTTCGCTAAGTGCAAAGGAGGGATGAGCAGCCGCCTACCCCCTACCATACTGAGGCTTTCGGAGGCTATAGTAATCCTATTATTGTATGCGGCATCTCTTGGTAACAGTTGAGGTTCGCGTCTGCATTAGGTGGACCTTTCAGTCTTTGACTGCGCCTCTAGATCAAAATGACTATCTTAAACTTTCCTTCAACACCAACACAATATCATGTTTGTCAAAAGTACTGTTTACATATAACGCAAATGTGAAACGAAGATAGCCTATGTCACTGGGAATCGGCATCACTAGTTCAAAATCCTGCGAATGTCCGTCAAGTGAGCGAATCTTTAAAAATTGGACGTATTGATATTCAATGTTACACCTAACGTTTACGAGTACATTAGCTGTCGTGATTCTTGTGATAAAGCAGGGTCTACTCAAGACTCCGTGTTCAATCACAGAACGGAACCAGAGTCCGTCAAATTTCGTATTTGTATCTGCAGTCCACAATTTCAGACTGGGGAAAACTAAGGTAATGGCTTTTGTGACTAAATCAATGGTGCTCCTTATACACGAGAGCAGAACTGTATACTACCGAACTCGTCCCGAGGTCACTTATAGGAGAATGGCCGCCAACTCAGGGTTGACCACGAATAAGGTGGTTTTAGGTTCACTGAATAAGGGATCGCGGACGATCAGCGGTCAACCACCCAATCCAACATCCCGCAACCGCTTCATGCCTCCGAAATCCTCAGTATGGTCGGGGTCATTTGGCTGAGTGTCGTAAACAAAAGGCGTTCGTGCACCTTTCAATTTCACTCCAACATTAGTCCACTGAAATTCTCTATTTCCTGTTCGACTTCACATTCAACCTTCCTGTCTTTCTACCGTTCATCCAATTGGGCAGTCAAAAGACAAACCAAGACCGGTGCACGAAAGTGCATGGTTAATGGTTGTTCAAACTGAAACTGAAAGTATGGCAAGTCAACAAAAGGCTATGACCATAGAAGACGGCAATCAGTCCGGTCATGCGCATTCAATTCACGAAAATTCTCACGACAACTAGGCAGGTCCCTGTGAGCATAACGCATATCCTTGCCATCCGGTTTTTCATTCAACATTATCTCAGTGTGTGTCGATCGGATTTTCCAAACGCATGGAGCAGGCGCAAAGCGCTCTTGGCAGAATGTCGAGTTCTGTAACTTCATTTAGTATGCGCTTTACACCTTAAAAGTTCAAAGTGATGTTACAAGGATGGACGACTTCTGCCCCGGCATTGATGCTTGATGGTCAAGAATTAGCTATGGTGAAATTTTTCTCCTACTTAGGTAGCTGCGTGACAAATGACATTAGCAGTCAAGGAAGTTACCGCCCGCATTTCCAAGGCATGAGAAGTTTACGCAAGACTGAAACGCTTCGGTGCGGAAGTGATGTTTCCTTTAAACTGAATGGTCGTGTATATTGCACCAGTGTGTAGTCAGTTCTGCTTTATGGTTGTGAGACCTTGAATTTACACGTGGAAGGTATTCGTCGTCTTGAAGTATTCGACTGCAGATGTTTACGTAGTTTGGCGCGGGTGGGATGGAGCGAGTGTGTAAACAACTCTGAGGTAAGTTGTCACGTGTTTATTACTGATTCGATGGAGAATTCCTTGTTCCATCGAACTCAGGTAGGTCGGCTTTGCTGGCTGGGACACGTATTGCGAACGCTCAGCTATCATCTACCGCATGGCGACTAATTTGAAGTTGCGGCTCCAGGTAGGAAGAAACCACGTGCAGGTCAACAGATGACGTGGAAACGANAGGCATGAAGAAATGCATAGAGCGATTAGGTAGAAGACATGTCTCCTGTCTTTCAGGTTGGGGCCTAAAAGACTCTGCAACTTACTAGTTGGAAAAACTGAAGAATATGGCAGCAAACCGACAGCAGTGGTGTTCTTGTTTTCATTTATTACCAGATCAGAATGCTTCAAAAGGTATGTATGCAAACTTAGATTGTATATTCTGTGTTGACCTCAGAGGTTCACTTTATTTCCCACTCTCGTACGGGTCCCAATTCCTCTCCTTCTCGAACTCCATCACTTAATTTGTGTACATCGTAAGGCCTCTGAAAGCCTCATTATGATCGGCGGTGTCTAGGGNCGCCTCACGAAACGCTTCCATACGACCAAGCATCTCAAGCAGCCTCTGCTGAGAAAGCCCTACTCACTGCTTCCTCGTGGCGGAGGTGTTTTCCCACCAAAGTGAGAGGACGAAAAGCCGACATCCGGGACTATAATTGGTTTGGTGAAGCATTGGCAATTCACCTAAGGGAGTTGGCTAAAAACCCTGATTCCAAACCAACCAAGGGGAGTACGAACCACACATACAACTTACTGGTTGTGGCAGTGGTCACCGGCTTCATTGGGCATGGAGGTGTATTGGGCACCTTGGACGTTTGACCCCGTCCAAAGGGCGTATGATCCAATGAGCTGGACACCGCCCCCCAATGGACTGCGGACTCTGAGCTCCGTCTTGTTGTCTTGCAGGTCTGGCTTTCTAACCAATGAGCCCAATGACGGTGTCACGACAAAGGTCGACGTGACTGGTTTTTTAAAACTAAAGTCATTGATCCCCTCACTTGCGCGGGGGATTACTTCCTGCTGCCTTGCAGTTCGCACTTGGTTGTGCAAAGGTTAGAGAAACACCGAGTGACGCTGGGGACGTTTCTCGCACCAAACTCCCAAGGAACTTCATGATAATGATCATGTCTGGAGCCGGCTTATCCTTTTCAAGGTGCCAGCCGCAGTAAAGTAAAGTAAGTAAGAACCACAGTTAGTAAGACATTCTGCGACGAAAGTGTACAAGCTATTCACAATAAGCAACAACGGTTGCAACGAACAGTTCATCTGACCAGGTGCTAATCAGACTATTTTGTCGGTTGTAGCTGAGGCTCCGTGGGCAGTGTCACCTGAACCTCCCACTGCAGCAGAAGTACGATCTTGCATCCAAGCCCTGAAGAAAAAGAAGCTTCGGACGGGCTTCCTCCCAATCTTTTCAAGACGTGGGGCAATGACCTCGTATACTCCGTTACTGATTTAATGCGTAAAATCTGGTCACACAAGCGCAGTCCATCATCCTGGAGCAAATCACAGATTGTTCCAATTTTTAAGAAGGGATCTCGCAACGACTGAGCAAACCACTGTGGAATAAGTTTGATCTTAATCATCAGCGGGTTGTTAGCCGCCGCCATACTGCGACGTCTGACATCGTTTAGAAAGACAAATATCCGAGAACAGCAAGCAAGATTTCGACCAGGTCGCGGTTGTATCGATCAAATCTTCGCTCTGCATGAAGTCCTCGAGCTACGCGATACACCGTCGACCAACATCCCGCATTTTACTGAAATTTCTTAACATCCAGCATCACCACTTTTTGATCATGCTTTTTCTCCACAAGGCATTTCTTACTCTGGGTAGCTCCGTGTGGAGGGTTTCGAGCTATTGCTTTGATCCTGACAAAACCTCAGACGTGTACTGTCACCTCGAGGAACCATCAGAAGTGCATTCTCCTTTTCCAGAACCGCAGTCACTCACGTTTACGTGAACGAAATAACACAATTTTTGCAGCACCGTGATGCGCCCAAGCTCATTGTTGCAAGAAACTGGACTAGTTCTGGCTCCACCGAAAGTTCTGTGACCAGTCCTGTCCTGTCCTAGTCAATTTGGCAGGCGAGACCGACTACAGGAAAACGTAGTGAACGTTATCCGTTGGACTCAAATGTGTGACCTGGACCACAACTCGTCAGTGTCACGTATTGAACACTAACATAGGCCCAATTAGAATAAGCACTGAGGTGCAAACCATCAAACTCACGTGCGTGGACCAAAAGGATTTAGGAATAACAGTCTCCAAAAACTACAAGCCATTTGAATAACGCCGAGCTACGGCGCAAAGAACGAGGGGTCAACTGTTCCAATCGATAAATACAGTGATCACTCAAAAGGCCGAAGTCTCCATCACGACGAGACTGCACTTTGGCGTGGTGTGATGGCTTGTGTGCCTCCATGACCCTGCGAGCTATACAGGATGGTTTTTCACAGCCGTAGATCCAATCATGCCTGAAAGGTGAACGGATACAGGAGAGACGAAGATCAGTCTCACAAAGCCAGCTGCTTGGGCACCTCCTGGCATCCTCTTATCCACATCCGCTCCTGGAGAGGTCACTCCATTAAATAAACACGATGAGAGGCAGTTCACCGGACAAAAAGAACCCGTTAGATGGACGTAGGTGCGGGGTACCTGGGGTTTCCTCTCGACTGTGGGAGAAGTCTTCGCACT